TCTGAAGATCAAAGGACACACAAAATTAATATTAAAAAATGTAAACGGGAAGATTCAGGAACTCTACAATGATTAGCCTGGCATGGATTCTGAAGAAAACAGTACAATGACAATGGGAAAAATGGGAGCTAAAAATACCCTGTCAGTCAAGCGACCTTCATAAGGTCATAAGGAGAGAGAGCCAGTGGAAGCTTCAGCTCCAACAAGGATATCTACAGCTGCTGCTTCTCTGAAAAGAGCGTTCTCCTTGTTTATGGAAAGCTAGCTGATATATGGGGAGCAAATGAATAAAAAGGCAACAGAAATCCACTGGGGGACTCATGATCCTAACACCTCAAACACAGGAACAGCTGCTCCACTGGAAAAAAAAGAAAAAAAGGCACGCAGAACAAAGAAGCAAAACACAACTGTCTTTAATACAACGGATACACATAGATACAAAAGTACTGCTAAGAATTAAGAAAAATAAAAGTAAATAAAATCATAAGAACGGGAAGAAAATACAATCTATAGACTGCTGTAAAAGAAATAAGCAAAGACTCAAAGAGTTTCAGTGTAGAGAAGTTCATCTGCCAGTGCTTACAGCAAGCCTTTCACAATCAAAAGCAGGAAGAAACATAATAATCGAAGCTAGAGAGGATGTGCGCATGCATGTGTGCAAGATATATACTCCTCCAACTCAAAAAAAAACCACAGAATCACAGAATAAAACTCTCTGCACCGAAGAAGCACATTCTGAGAGAAGCTTAAGAATCTTCCATCCCACTTGAGAATGACACTGCGACGCCTATCCCAACACCTAGCACTCCTTACTTGAGGGAAAGGAAGACTTGGGATGAATTACACCTTTTCTCAGGGCACCAAATATATGCACCGCTTTTCAAGCTCTTCTTTTTCCTATCAAAGCCAACATCAGATCATAAATACAAATCAAAATTGTCATTAAACTGATCGCAATGGAGAACTGCCCAGAATTACTGGCACAGACAACAGGTATCGTTTTAATGCTGAATGATGAGCTATTAAGCATGAAAGACAGACAGTGTCAGGGAGAAGAACGAGATAACAGAAGGCTTTTCAGCGAGGCTGAAAAATAAGAATGGAAAAAATGAAAGAGAAGACACCATAAGAACACTTACTGGAGTAAAATATAAGGGAAAAAGTTTAAATGTATAGGGAAAAATCTGGTGAAGGCAGAGCAAATCACAGCAACTCACTATAGTACAGGAAGCAATGATGAAGAAATCAATGATGAAAGTAGGTGAAGACAATTAAGAACAAAATTAAAACCAACCAGAAAATAAACTGATTTGAAGAGTCCTAGGACACACAGCGTATCAACACTACTCTGTAAAGTGAAGTGTTCAGTGGCCCCCTCTGAACAGGACCGACCAACATTCACTGACCATCCATTCTCTCCTAGTCCTTCACCCCTTAGAAAAAAAGCTGTTCTTAACAGGTTTAGGAAGAAAAGAGCTATCTGAATGCCACAGGTGAGACTGGAGGAAGGGAACTTCACCAAGGTCACACATCTGGCTCTTCGCCAAGCCTGGATACTCGTGCGTCTAAAACGAAGGCCATTCCAGGAGCTCTTCGGAACAACCGGATCCGAAAGCTATTTATGAGGCTACACCTATCCTGTTCTACACAGCACATACTCCAAACTGACGTGTCTGTTATCTTCAATACTTTGGTAAATCAAGTTGCACAACAGCCATGGGAGTCATCTGCTTACCTACAGACATGTAAGTTTGAGTGTGCGTCAATAACCTGAGAATCAAACCAAAAATGATTCCCAGACACACAACATAATAATAAAATATCAACCTGCAATCAAGCAGGAATGGAAAAAAAAAAAAGAAAAGAATTGGTGTGGTGCTTCACCAGAGGACAAATGCTATCAAAAAAGAACAGAAAAGAAAGCTGAAATCAAATTAGCCACAGAGCTTTATATATGTTACTACTGATTTACAAGGTAGTTTTAAGTCCTACACTAGCAGGCTTTTAAAGATAAATACCCTCTGCAATAAGGAAACAAAAATGATTTCCACCTAAAAGAGATGACTGTTCATCAAAGATGCGTTAACTGCAGCAAATGCCTTCAGATGAGGAGGGATTAACTGTAGTTAACTGAATTGCTAATAGGAAGAAAAAAACCTTGGTCTCCTCCATAGAAAAAGTCATCAAGAAAGAAAAAACCCAAATATTCTGCAGACTGCTATGAGTCTGCTTTAGCAAATAGCTTCTCCACCCCCCGCAGCAGAAGATGAACATCTCCTTTCTTCTGCTGTCTTGGGAACTTAGAAATTCCGAATTAAGAACTCAGCAGGAACATCCTGCTACTGCTGCTGTCTGCCTCATGAACACACTTTTAGATAAAACCCACTTCTCGAATGCTAAACTTTTAACACACATGATTTTAATAGAGGAAGGGATAGCACAATGGATGTGTAATGAAATGAAGGCTTAAAAACAAGAGCAATAGGAAAAATGAATACATATGGAAGATAAATAATTCATTTCCCATTTTACACAAAGCTGTTGAATAAAGAACTTTTATCCTTCATAAAATACTGGTGAGATAGTACTTATCTCCTGTTATGGCCAGACACATTTGTCTAACAGGTCCAGAAACAGAAACCTTTGTGGATAGTTTTAAGCAAAGCTCACCCTGTGCAGAATGCAAAAATACAGAAAATACCCTTCTTATTAGCTGTTCCATTACTAAATCCTGCATAATTTATTTGCCACCGACACTGAAGATGTGACAGAGAATACAAGGCATGCTACACCATGAAGATCAGAAAGAAACCCTGGAGATCACTGAGCCCATCCCCTGCTCAAAGCAGGGCCAACTACAGCAGGTTGCTCAGGACAGTGTCCACTTAGGCTTTGAGCATTTCCAAAGATGGAGGCTTTACAGTAGTTTTGGGCAGCCTGTTCCAGTGTTCAGTCACCCTTACAGCATGTTAAAAAAAAAAAAAACCAAAACATTAGAAAATCTTATGTTTAAATTAAAGCTCCTGTTTTCCCAAAATGTGCTCAATGAGTCTTGCCCATTGTCTCTGATGTTCAGTGAAAAGTATCTGATTCCATCTGCACTCCTGCCTATTGAGCACTTACTAATTTTGCTGCAGTGAAGCCCCTGCTCAGGGATAAAAAAAACCTCAGCTCCCTCAGCCTCTCTTCCCATGACAGATACAAAGTTCTTTCATCATCTCCAACTCCTAAATTGCGAGCAAGACAGTGAAATACCATCAGTGACATAGACTCCATCCCTGCATTACACACAGCACTGAAACTCACTGGCTGGAAACACTAAGACAAGCTATGTTCCTTGCATTCAGTTCCAACAACTGAATGACAACAAGAGTAAAAAATGTTGGACATATACACAACTATGTAGATAGAAAGTAGAAGCGACTCACCTTGTAGTAACTATTGCATTTATTTTTTTAAAGCTCTAATAACTTCAGCTTTTCACAAATTCAGTATATGCTGGATACCTGGAAAATTGTTACTGAAAATAGTTTTTTAAGCCACTGAGAGCACTTATATCTATGGTAACTCTTACTGAGTTATAATTCATCTATGTTTAACTGATAAGATGGTAGCTTATTATGATTTTGTACCTTAAGCAACCACGTAACCACTACTTGATTAAACCCTGGGTTGCAGTCAGCCAGCACAGGACACAATTAAATTTACTAAAAAAATGATTAAGAAAATAATAAAAAAAACCAAACAACTACTGAATAACCTTGTGAAACAGCTACGTTTTTGAAAATATTCTCAGTTTGCATTCACCAGACTTGAAATGCAACAAATAATGACATGAATAACAAGGCATGCAAGATGCTTTAATGACCATAATTTGATAAAAAGTTTTTCCACAGAATCAGAGAATGGTTGGGTTGGAAGGGACCTCACAGCCCGCCCACCCAACCCCTGCCATGGGCTGGCTGCCCCCTATCAGCTCAGGTTGCCCAGTGCCCACCCAACCTGGCAATGAGTGCCTGCAGGGATTGGGCACACAGCTCTATGGGCAGCTGTGCCAGGGCCTCACCACCATCTGAGTAGATTACTTCCTCCTAACATCTAACCTAAATCTCCCTTCTGTTAGTTTAAAGCCATTCCCTCTTGTCCTGCCACTATCAGAGAAGACATTGAGGATAACTGTCTATAGAACACCATATACAGAACACGAAGGAGAAAAAAACATAGGCTGTGCTTTGAGGATAGAGTACTGCACAATCCGACTTCCTGCTCCAGGACAACCACCTGGTCTCCTGAATATCTCAAAACTCAGATGTCAAGAATGGATACAGGTGGATAAATGATTGGTAATCTCTGTGTTGCAATGAGAAGTAAGATCGGTTCTGAAACATAAGATCTAGGAAACACCTTGATGTTTTCTTTTGCAATTTTCAGCTCAATCACGTAGTCAAAAATGTCTGGGATCCTCCCTGGGCAATTGTGATCTCCTTTCTGCAAACCAGACCTTCCATTATGAGGTGTGGTACAAGTTCTATGGCTACAGCTCACGCAAAAACTTTAATTGGGATTTTTGTTCGTTTTTTATTTAGTTGGGGCCAAATCTCAACTTCTGTGTAACCACTTTGAGAGGCACAGATCCAAAAGAATGAAGATGAAGGTTTTTTGGTAGTTTTACACAAATACCACGCAGCCCTCAGACATGAAACCAAATCCTGTTTCTGAACATTCCAACAGAAGTTTGGAATACCTTTTTCTCAACAAGTACTTACTGAATTTGTTTTAACTTATGTAATCAGCCTAATTAGACTGGTTAACAATTAAAGCATGGAGGGTCTCTGATTGCACTGCATTCTGCACAGACTCCAATAATGTGAAACCTGAACTCTACAATGTAAGAATAGATTTAATCAATTTATTAGTACATTAATCAAAAATTAAAATACCACAAGATAAATTAGCTGGTTGTTTGTTTTTCATCTATTAATTAAAGAAAAAAAAATTACCTCAACACAAAAGATCCTAAGATCAAGGCCGTATAACTTCATCTTCTCTGGAAAGTGCTGATAAGCATTGAAATATGGAATATGACCTTCAACAACAAACCTGCGTAAAAAAGCGAACACAAATAGCAGTCAGCACAACAAAAGCATGCTTGTTCTACAATTAATCCATGTATCAATTTCTGGTTCAAAACAATGTCTGTATTATACTGCCTAAGCAATACTATCTGAATTCCACACCTGTAAATGCTCCACAGGATGAACATCAGTTCCACCCTTTAACAGGCCTTTAAATCCAAGCTCAGCTATGACTGACAAATGGTGATGTTACCATCACCAAGCTTACAGTCAGCAGGCTTGCATGCAGTTTTTTCTGCATGTTGTTCAGCTCCTGTGTTTTTGAAACTCCTTGCTTGCTTTCTTGTCTTTCTTTCAAAACGTTAATGCTGTAAGTAAATTTTACAAATTGAAGATGAAACACTTTCTGCTCTGAGTGAGGCAACGTGGGGGGGGAGTCAGAGAATTATGGACACACACCCAGAACCACAACTCTGATAATTACATTCTGTAGTCTGATCAAGAAAAAAAATATAATTTCAGCAAGAAATTATTTTGCATATTCATAAAATCCAAAATCACTTATTTTGAACTTGCACCCGAATAATGTATTTTTCATTATAAACTGATGTGTAGTTTACTGTAGTATTTTGGATTTTTTTTTTTTCCCACATCCTTACTGTGGGATTCAGCAACACCTACCAGTAACAAGACACCAGCACCTCCAAACCCTGTGCTCATCCAATAATGATGCTCACAACAGGCAAAGCAAGCACTGATCAAGCCTGGAGCTTCGTGACAGAATGGGCACTGCTCTCGTTCCAGATTAGCACCTACTGACAGCCTTTCATAGGGCTCAGAACTGCTTTCCTGGATTACTTTTCTGCAGAATTTGAGTAATAATTTAGATTGGACTAAGTTAACACTTCAAACAGACCAGACTGTTCTTTAAATTGTATCAGATCTGAGAACAGTTTTCTCCCTTGTGCCAGCTGTGCCTTCTTTCTGCACAACATCCCTCTGATCTTGCTACACAGACTGGCAAGGTCTACAAACTCCTACAGTATTGGTAAAGCCAGGCTTTGCATCTGCTCCCAGCAGAGGACAGGACCTGCACGCCCTGATCACCAGAAAGGTCCCCTCCCAGCAGCTGACCAAGTTCCTCATAGCACACAACCATCTGTCACTGCCACTCACATCGTGTCTGGAGAACAAAACAAGACCAAGGCAGAACAACATCTTCCCTGACAGAGCGCTCACCTCTCCCCCCACACACGGCAGGGCACAAACCCACCTTTTCTTTTCCACTACAGCACCTTCATCAGCCCCTGCTAGGTATTAGAGTATGTATAAGGAAACTGATTAAGATTCTGTTTTAAGAGCCAGTTACTACAACTGGCAATGTGTGCTGCCCCACGTGCTTGCTGAGGTTACCACCCAGACCAGCACCCGCTGTGTGCCTGCCACCCTGCCCGATGTGCTGAGCAGCCACCAGCAGCTCTGTGCAGCCAAACTGCAATAAACTGAACTTCAGCCTGAGGAATGGTTCGACAAAATGGACTGAAACAACCAAAAAGTTCGATGTAACTAGTTGTTACTTCCCTCCTCCTGTTCCAGCTGTGTGCTCCTGGGGCTTACCATTCTCTTCCACAAATTTAACTCACAGCAGCAGCAGAAGCATTCCTGTCACCCTACTATCAGAAGGAAAGAAGGGTTTATTGCTGTCATCTAGCAATCAGAGGCTAACAGGCAGCTCCCACAAGTGCCACAACTGGCTTTGCAGTGCCAGGAGGAGGGAAGCACACAAGCAGCTCAGCTGACTGCAAGCGCTGAGCGACACCTGGTAGGGAGAACTCACAAAATTAGCTGCCAGATCTGAAAGGTGGCTCCAAGAAACTGAGAGCAGCAACTCCTGAGCAAGCACAGCACCAGCTGGAGGACAAACAATCAAGGCAGAGGGTGTGGTGTGGCCTCGATTGCAGCTAAACCACCCGTAACAGCTTGCTGCCTCCCAAATGGGAAATCCCACCCTCCCTGCTGCCCTCTGCATCACACTCCTGCCTCCTCCCTGCTGACAAAAGCACTTGTGTCACTTCTACTGAGGATTAGACTGAAAACAGTCTTTTGTTTTCTAGGGTTTGACTTAAAACAGACAGATTTCCAGACTGCTGACATTACTGCCAGCACAACGTGGAAAGGGATCATGTTGAAGCAAATTACACGGCACTAAAACACCCACTGAAACTTTCTTCTGCAAAATTAGTTTTCTGATCTGCTTTCAGCCAATGTATCAACAGCTGGGTGAACGCTAGCACCCAGCACAAGAGAAAACAAGCAGTATCTATGCATGAGGCAATACAAGAGACAAACAACACCTACAAAAGTGGTGGTTGTGTGTTTTTGGTTTTTTGCTCTTAAAAGTTCTCACTAACTTGGCTTTACCACGTCAAAGCATTGCAACTGCTGAAAAAACAATGACGACACCTATCCTAGCCTGAAATTACCGTCTCCGTGCAAAAAACATGCTGTTCTTTCAGGTGGAAAGCTGTTTCTATGTTTCAAAAATCCCTGAAACAGCATAAATACTCTGCTATGAACGCAACATGCCAATGATTCAGGATTTTAACGCTTACTCGAAAAGCCTGGATTTGGAATGGAATTGAGAATAGTTTAACTGCCTCCTGTTCTTCCAGCCCTGTCATTTAACAGATGGGTGATCAAAACACTCGCAGCACAAAGTTGTATCAGTGAAGTGCCTGAATGGCTCATACAGCGCACAGCACATGTGCTTTTAATTACAGCAGCAGCATACATTAGTCAGGGCTAAGTGCAAAGAAAATCCTGCATACTACAAGGAAACGATGCATCTGTTAAAGCCACACAGCAATGCCACAAACTGATTGCAAGTTCAGTCTTGCCGGAGTAGCCGGGTATAACCTCATTTGAGAAGCAGTAGTTCTCAGCCTCTCAAAGCCTAGCACCTCGATTTTCTTCCCCCTCCACAAAATCCCCATTTTATTAATTAGTTAAAGAATACTGCATGTAGAGAGAGCGTTGTGGGATTACTCACAGCCGGAAAGGATTTACTATTATGCAGACTAGAGCAGAAGTTTGTTAAAATGTTATTTTTAAACCAAAAATGTCCCTTCCACAGGAGGTAATTGTAGTGTTTTTCTGCTAAGTGTGTCAAGTAGCGAGGAGGAGCGTATTTTTGGTGTAGTAAATCCTTTAAAACTTGGCAGGTTGCCGCAGTGTGGTGCCTAAGCATGTGTCACAAGGGAGGAGCGGGAGTCAGCTGACTGCAGGCAGGGAGAAAACCAAACTGAGGACAAAACAAGGCAGAACTTTGAAGCACAACTGTAATTCAGATGGTTTAAATAACACAGTTTGCTTACAAAGATTTTAAAGGTAATGCTGAATATTCCATGTTTTCATCTCTGCTCTGTCGCTGTTTTGATCTGTATCTCAACACATGCAAAAATGTTAACATTGTCTGAATTTTGAGCTTAAATATTCAGCTGTCAGAAAACAAAAGTTTGATGGCAGTTCACGTGGTTTAGAATTCTCTCCCCTTCTTCATCAAGCTTATGAAAGGCAAAGACCTTAAGGGTAGGGAGGGAAACATGATAATGTAATTACAGTCTCCTATAACTATTGTAAAACTTTGCAATACAAACGGCATTCTTTTAAACATCACTTTTTGCATTTAATTCACTTCTTATGTTCAGTGCATTTAAAGTCACCGAATCATTCTGAGCCCCCACTAGATTCATGGCCTTATATAGAGTGTACTAAACCCATACACTGTCCCTAATTAAATGATACATTCTTTCAAATCATCTTAACTCAGTTTCCAGTTATTAGTTTCTGATTTTGCTTTTCTCTGCTGTATTTGGTACTTGATTTCTACTTTTTTTACAAAGACAAAGGATGCTGCTCTCCAGGTTCTGAATTTTCTTGGATCTTTTCTGCAGTCTCCAGATTTTGAAGACTCAAACACAACAATACACCATTAATATGAAATCAACACAGTCCATCTCACTACTGCAATCTATTCTGACTTACAACTGACTTTCACAGCTTTTTTTTTTTTGCCTTCTAACTGAAAGCTGGTTTTGATTTCTGCTGTTTATTAACCTACTCAGTATTTACTTCTGTACTGCAGGGTACTTACTCTGAGTTCTGAATGCTATGGCATGTTGCTGAACACTTTAGAAGCACCGTTTACGCAACAGCATATCCAGTTATGCAAACATGCAACAGTTTGTGTGATTGTGATTGATGAAGGCAACAGCCATCCCCTGAACTTAAATCAAAGGATAAACATCAGTTTAATCAGTTTAGTGTACCCAGTATTCATTGCTATAGTTCAACACAAGCCTCTCTTGCCTTGAATGCACTTTTCATTGCTCTCAGAAAGCTTGTACAAAGCTAGCAAAGTGCAGGGGGTTTGGCATCCAGAGAGGCATATCAGACACTGGGATAAACTCACCTTGCATTAAACTTTCAGCAGCAATACTAGTTATATCCATCACAAGTATTGCCTTGTCTTTTAGTCCACAGGTTATACACTTGAAAAGAAAATTAAAATTCAACAACTGAAGTCTATCTTATCAACTGAATCTTGAATCAGTTTTTCCCTTATTCTGTCCAAGTGCAATTTGATCTGCCCACCTACAGTTACTTGATCATTTTGGCAAAAAGAAAAAGACATTTTCCCCATATTTCTAGAAATGGACAGTACTTCAACAACAGTTAAAAAAATATCACCATACAAAAGGTCTTACAGAGTAGCCCTAAGAATTTCTGAATGTAAGCTGCTTTGGTCTGATTTAAAATATTTATTACTAACAACAGAAAAAAGTTGACAGCTTAATCCCTTAAGAAAACAAGGAATATACTCCTATATACATCGTAGGGGGGAAAAAAGAACAACACTGTCACTAATAGCTTGACAATCCCCATATTTAGCATCAAACTATATCATTACATTGTTTTATATCTACCATATCAAAAGCTCTTTATTCTGAACTCTGATGATTACAGATACAAAGATATAAAGACAAAGAAGAACTCGCTATATTAATTTCTGAGCCCCACTCCATTACGTGAAGCTACTGAGTTACCTTCCAGATCTCTGTATACTGCTGGCATTGTTTGCATGATGACACTGACGCAAGTCCCAGGGAACATTTACTCATTTAATTTTGGCATGCTGACAACAGCAAAAATAGCAAAAATGTGACCATGCCTACCACTCCAGTGGATCTAAAGAAATTTCAAAGGAGAAGGACAAAAAGCTTCTTTAGCTCCTAAACCTTCTGCCTTGCAGGTCTTTGAGTTTCAGTGCAAACAATGGAAGAGAATGTTCTCACGAAGCAGCTGCACAAATTCTTGTGTCAGAGCATAGTTATGGATACTAAACATAAGGTAACTCACATAACAAATTAGTAACAAGGTAACAGTAAAGGTCCCATTAAAAAAAAAAAAAAAATAGTTATAAAAGCAACAATCATCTCAGCAGAGACCATTCATACCTTAAGAGCTCAGATAACGTCATTGGTTCTTTCAGCCAGAGTAATGCCATGTAACAAAACGAAAGGGTCATTGGCATTGACATCCTCAATTTCTCCTTTCGGTTCTTCCTTACGTACAAGCTACCATCTACTGACCCAGAGCATACAGAGGTGCTTTCTTTGGTTTGTGTTAAAAACAGAAGAGAAAAAAAGTAATTGATACAACATACACACAATCCATAGGGTACAGAAAACAAGACAAAGGAACACAAAAGTACTCTTGTTCAGCAACTAGTAACATTCCCAAATCATTACTCTGCAGTTATTTACTGCTAAACTGCTTCACTCTAATTTATTCATTTGCCATTATATGAGACAACAACCTGTCCCCTAAACAGCTATCTCAGTTGAAACACTGGATCACATGAAAAGAGACCTCATTCAGGAACCCATAAAAACAGAACCTTTTGGTCTCTGGACCTATTGGTGGGAGCGACACTTCCCAGCTTTTCAGAAGTCTGAGTTCAATCACAGTCATGAGCTGGAAACAGTATTTTCCATTTGACAGATAAGGAAGCAGTGGAGAAATGAGGAAAAATTCCGTGTGCTTAAACAAATACCTTGGAGATGGGGATTAAAACACAGTTTTAAGCTTCTACACTGTCAGAGCTTTAACAAGAACACAATCTACACTGCAGAGACTTTACTGAAGTTAAGGTGTGTATCCATCTTCCATAAAGTAGGTTGTTGGGTTTTTTTAATTTAAATTCAATTAAAAAAAAAAAAAAGAACTTGAGAACACAGAAGTATCAAATGGTAAAGAAGGTTAAAGAAAACCAAAACAAACCACAAAACAACCAAACCTTCCTATATTCTTATTGAGATGAATCACTAAACAGAGAGAAGCAGCAATGAGAAACTTGATTTATGGGATTGACTTACGAGTTAGGAACCTTTTCAGCAGTGAAACTTTAGAGTTCAGGAAAGGAGGAACAAAAACTGAAAAGCTCTTCTTCCCTACATTATGGAATATGGTAGGATAAACGGAAGTGTTTCGTTTCTAAAGCACACCAACACAAAACATCAACTCTGACTCTGTAGTGACTTCCCCACAGTTCCCCAGCGTGGGCAGGAAGTGTGAAGACTGATGCACAGCTCCCAAGCTGGGAGCTGCAGGTTCACAGCGAGCAGCCTGAGCAGGGAGCTGGGCAGCCCCGTGGTTAAGCTGGTAGGTGAAACCCAGGTCTGGGAGGTGGCAGCAGGCAGAGGTCTGGCACCCACTGACACACTGGCAGGCAGAACTGCAAGTATTGTGTCTCTGAGTCAGAATTAGTCTTTGATGCCACCTACTGGCTCCTCAAAAGAGGGACAGCAGAACTAAAGAGACGGCAGGCAGGGGACACAGACTAGATGAGAGGATCCTGAGATGAATGTTGGGTATAGGTGTGCTGGAGAATAAAGGCAGCAGCCTTCAGTTAATCCTTTTAGTCAACAGTTTCACCTTTTACATGGATACATGTGCTTAGGCAGCTTCACGACTGAAGCTTCATTATTAATTTCACATTCAACTCAATTTAGAATAATCCTCATTATATTTGTGGCTTTAATGATAGCACACAATTTCCTTTTATTTCTTGTAGCTTACGCAAGACATGACAACATACAATTACACACATCTAATAATTTAAGAGTTTAATAGGCTTCCCTAGCAATATCTCAGCACTATACTCAATGGTATTTGCTATTATCCCTATACAAAAATAACCAAAAAATAATAAAACAAAAAAACCCAGAACAATTGCATGTTGGAACAGCCTCTTAGGAGAGTGTTGATGTTTCCAGTCTGTAGCAATAACAACTCAGTAGAAACGGCACTAAGAGGAAATGAATCAATCTTCACCACAATTTATGGTCTACTAGAACACATCTAGTACTATTTGTATCAAATTTCAATACAGTAAATAATTGCTGTGCTTCTTTGATTGCTCCAAAATATGCTTTTACTGTCACCGAGCTCTTATCTACTTCAAAGGCTTTTAGTGAAATAGGTATGACTACTTAAAGGTTAATCTGTTCTCCAAAACAACAGACCAAGGAGAACACATTAAATTATGGCCTATCTTAATGCTGACTTTTAGAAACATATAGCAGGCACAACTCCTAAAAAAGAAAGGAGTTCCTTTAGACATCTAAAAGGGAAGAATTCAACTGAGTATTTTCACTAGAATTTTTTCACTGTGTTCTTTCCTACTTAAGATGTATTTGTAAAACACCCTGAATTGGCTGTGTGTGAACATACAGAGAGTTTTTACCTGCAAATCTTAACATTTTAGTATACTAGAATGAAAAGTGCTTGCATTATGTTCTCAAAAGTTTGTGTTGCTTTTTTTGCCCCATTTTCCCCTCTCTAATCCTATTCAAGAGTCTTAAAGTTTCTTAATTTCTAATTGCTGTAGCTCAAGTTTCTCATTCTGTTTTCATTTCTGGATTGTATGAAATAAAGAGAAAAATATAGAAGGACAAGATTATATTATTTGGATGGTAGACGGACAGTATCATAAAAGAACAGAAGTAGAATGTAAAGAGGACCTCATACCATGGGAATAGCAAACACTGAAACAGACAAAGGAAAAGACAAACAAAGAATCAAGCATAAAAGAACAATCAGAAACTCAAAGTGCAAGCAAAAACGTTCAAATATGCTTTGAGTTGTATTTCCATTATCAGACATCAGAGCACTGCTTGAGATTACACTTGCCCACTAACACCAAAGACTCCAATTTTCTGTAATGTTTTAATTAAAATGTTTAGAATTCTGTCAAAGTTTTCAAGCTGATTTATGAACAGAAAGGAGAAGCTGAAGGAATGATACAAGCTTTTGGATGAGAAAGGCTATAACGATAGTAAACATAATGCAGGACAAGAGACACAGAAGTACCATAAACTCTATTAAGAGAAAAAATAGAAAAATACATATGGGACAGGAAAAAAAAAACAACACATAACGAGAAGAACAAAAAGAAAACAAGAGAATCAACTCTTGTTTTTAAACACAGAAGTTAGGACTTGTTAGGAACATGTAGCTTTGCAGATAAAATAGCTTTTTCTTTCCTCATTCCAGACAGGATGCATGGGGCAACATGGCTAAAAAATACAACTTCCCTCTGCATTTCCAGATCACGTTCAACTTTAGAGGGAAAAAAAAAAATGAAGTCTTCTGCTACAGATAGAATATAAAATACCTCTGTGGCAAATAGGATTGAAAACACTACACTTTCTAGCTATGCATCAAAAAGTCCTTCCAATTAATTCTACTCAAGTCGTGTACAAGAATGGTTTCCAGATACTTCACTTCATTGCTCCTACCTGAGGCCTTGCCAGCTGATGAGGCATAGCTGCAATCTGTCTGTAGATCTCCGTCACTTTCAGAGACAGATAAAAAATGAAGCAGGCTAGATTGCTCTGGTTCACTGTCCATATCTGTACTGCTATCACATACCTGTTTTTTGTAAACAAGACATAGTATTATCTACTGTTAGTTACTCTGTTTAATCTGAATAAACCAAATAAAGCAGAACAGATAGAAGATCTAGTACACGAAGTTGAAACCCAAGCTGTTCACATATTTACCTGCTCTATGAATCACCAGTATGTAAAAAACCTTGAAAAAAAATTTTCTTTGTGATTCTGTTACATCCCATTCTGTTACAATGACCAGAGAGGAGGTAATTTATAGAAGCAAAGTTTAACAAAATAAGTAACTTCAGGAGACTGGGCATGTGGTATTCCATTTAGAAGACATTCTCACTGAAGTGAGATTAATGAGAGTTAGGTATGCAGCTTAAAGAAAGTTTTTTGTTGTTACTCTTTAAAAAAGATAACCAACATCTCGTAGGATCTGAGCTTTTCACTTACTGATAATGTCTTGATAGTTTCACCAGCTGGTCTGTTGCAATATGCTTGTTGGCTCTTCTGAAGGTAACGCCTCCAAAAATTGCACAGAGTTTCATCCTGGTAAATACAAATGGACAGAGATTAGTGCAAGATTCAGAAAACCATTCATTTCTGAGAAAACAGATTGTAATTGCTAACTCAGGAACCTAAATAATATTCCAGCTCTGATTTCATTACCTCCAGTTTTTAATTCATGTTTTGTAACTATGAAAATTTCTTTTTATAACTATAACTATTTTATAACTATTAAATTTGTTTATAGGTGCTCAGTTGTTTTTGTTTTTTTTTAAGAGAGGGATTTGATTTACCCAAAAAATTATAGTATCTTTAAATAACACCCCTACTGCACACTCACAGTGTGCACAACTCACAGTTTGTAGGATTGAAACCGATCTCTACATACCTTCATTTGTGGACACACTCCTAATGCTTCCAAAGCTTCAGCTTGTTGCTTTAGTACCAGCTGAAAGCCTTCACAAACATACCATTCCCAGCCTTCATCTATTAAAAAGAAAGTGTTTTTTAAACCTTAAGCAAGGTATTTCCACTTAATATTCTGTTATATTGTACCAGGACAGAGACGTATCTCTTTGAAATAACTTCAGATACGAGAGCAAAGAACATTACACTGAATATTCCATTAACTTCCACTTACTCACAGGCTTAAGAAAGAAGAAATATTACTGAACAAGCGATGCTCTAACCACATTTCCAAGTACTAATATATTTCACTATCATTTCTAACATGGCATTTGTAAATGAGGAGAGAGTTGCCTAGTGACCAGTTTTAAAGTAGGACCTGTTGTTGAAAAAATGAGATGTCTTTTCTTCCCCATCTTGAGCATGAAAAACCACGTTACGTTGCAGTACTTCGTCAGGCAGAAATTTAAAAATATATATATATAAATCATTGTGTTCTTCACCACTGTCTCTCATGGAATCATACAGGTTTAACTGAAAGTTTCTCAGACATTCAGAGCTCTTATCACATCTCAGCATAAGATGAATTTCCTAAAGCCTGCTCCAATCTATTCACTATTTCCTCAGACAGCACTACATTTACTTTCCACCATGCCTCTCCATATTTACAAATCCTTTCCACATGCTCTTGGTCTTAAAAAAATGCCTCTGTAGCTCTCAACTCTCTTTGCACTCACTCCATAGCTGTTATTCATTATTTTTCCTTCCAATCACACCTTGCATCTCATCATCTTAGAAGTTATCTGCCTCAAGTTACTCCCCTGCATTAAGGATGCTGGCTTTACCACAGATACAGCTTAACCCTACACATGTATGAAAATAAACTGTCATAGCCTCATGCAACTGCACTTGGAGAAGGGACTATATGAAGCTAAGAAGCATGGGGATTGCTAATGACAAGCCCAACATGAGAAGTAAAAGGCACGAAGTCTCAGCACTGACTTCTGGAGCAATGCAGGAGAAAGGCAGGTGGAGGGGTTAAGGCCCTTCTTCACTCCTCCCTTCAACTTCCCACAATTGTTCTTTTCAAAGGTATGTAGTCATCTCCTGCCACCGCAGTACAGTGAAGATAGGTCAGCCTATCAGAGATGAAGATAGCTCCGTGCTTCATGTAGCACTGTAATGCATTTTTCTTTTTGGAAGTGGCCACAACAGCAAAACAACTCTCCAGCCATCAGAAACACATACACAGCTCCAGCAGCAACTCTACTATAATATGCACAGCATATCACCATATATAATGGCTACTGCTCTTTTGAATCATGAAATGAATGCAGAGTGACTCAGGATAAAAGATGTACCACCGAGCTACTTCAGGCTAGCTACACTAACTGCACAAAATGCCATCCATGTAAATCTCTGCGTAGGTTACAGGGCCAAGTGCCCACAGGGCAAGCTGGGCACACATTTTGAGAGTGGGACCACTGCCACATTTCACTTACACACACACACGGCTCTTTTGTGACAGTCATCACAAGGAAGGAATAGAGGAATCACCACATCTGAATGAACACCACGCACCATCTTCAGTGAGCAGCAGCCTGCATAAATCCAAGTGGCAGAAGCACCAAGCCTAACGCACAACATCTACCAACTTCATGGAGGCCACATGTGCCTCTGGAACTCACTGAGGCTGGGGCTGCTGAAGGCTCTGGCAGTGTCTGGGGATGCATTACATTCCTGTTCTTGGTCCTTTTTAGCTATCTGCTTTCAGCCACAGTTGAAGACAATGTGCTCAGTGAAGCAGTGCATCCACTCTTATGCAGAACACAGAGTGTTGTGTACGTACCAGCTTTCTTCTGACTTCTAGAGCCTTTGGAGATTGTCTGGATTCTTGCATTAGGGATAACATCGGTGCTTACAACTTCTCGAGTTCTCTGCAAAACAATAACACATCCTAGCAAGGATAATGCCAGACCTAATTTGTATCAATTGCCCCATCATGAAACGTAATGGAATTACTTGTTCTGTTTTCTTAAAACAGAATATTTCATTCAGAATTAGCAAAAATAGGTTATTACTGTCCTGGACATAAAGCTGTCACATGTCAGCGTGTCACAGCGGTGCCGTGCTGCAGCACAGTCATATCCAGGCAGTGGTGTTATGGCACCCAGGTCACACCATGTAGCATTTTTGTAACCTAAAAACCAGGACGTAATCAGAATAAAGCAATCTGAAGGCCAACAGCTCCGCTTTTTACCTCAATAACATTGTGGCAAGTTCTGCAATAAAATCTGCCTCCATCAGTGAGACCCCAGTTCACTTCTGAACACTGTGCGCAGCGCTCAGCAAAACCTCCCTGAAAGGAAAAAACAAATAGTTTCACAGGCTCAAGTACAGCAGAGAACCCCCTGCCAGGCTGCAGCACAGCCTTCAGGATTAGCTACAGAAAATGCCCGTCCTTGAGGTGAGCTGATGCAGACAACGGGTAGCGGCAGTGTTTGCTGTTAGCTCGACAACGTGTGAGCCGGCAAGCACCAGCACGTGAACTTCAGTATAACGGGAAGCTGGTAACTAAGTCAGTGCCCCGGTAATCCACCCGTCAGAAACAGGAAGGGGAACAGAGGCCTGGAGGTGAAAGAACGAATCTCCAGAACCGCGCAAAACACGTGGAAGAACGCCTGCACAACGCACGGAGAGCCGTGCCCGGGGAAATCCGGGGGGGGAGGAGGGGTGAGGGAAGCCCACAAAGCAGCAGGAAGGGGAGCGCTTCTCCAGCCCCGCGGGCGTGCCGGCAGCTCCGCGCTCAGGCCGGGCCCCAACCCGACACCGAGCCGGGAACGCCGCCGGGGCCTCACCCGCCCCAGCGCCGGAGCCCGCAGCCCGCCCCCCGCCCGCAGCCACCGAACGCCCCGCGGCGCAGCGCCGCCCACGCGGCCGCGTTCCGGCCCGGCGAAACCGGCCGCTCCCGGAGCCGCCCGCCCCGCACCGCGTCCTCCTCGTCCATGCCGCTGAGCGCCGGGCAGCCGCTCCGGAGATCCCACCGTGGCAGCCGCGCCGCCGGTCGGCCCGGAAACGGCAGCCCCGGCGCTTGCGTTCCGGCCCTGCCCGCCGGTCTCTCGGGGGATGCGGTCCCCGCGGTCCGTCGGCGCCGGGCCGGGACGGAGGCGGGAGGGCGGCACGTGGGGCTTCACTGAGTGACCGTGGGGGCTTCGTAGAGTCACAGAATCACTAACGTTGGTGGAGACCACTAAGATCATCTCGTGCGACCACAACCCAGCCCCACCGCGCCCACTGACCGCGTCCCTCAGTGCCGCATCTCGCATTCCTTGAGCGCCTCCAGGGACGGTGACTCCAGCACCTCCCTGGGCAGCCCGTGCCACTGCCTCACCACTCTTTCTGAGAAGAGATGTTTCCTAATATCCAATCTCATTTCTGTGGAAACGTGGGGAACTTCACAAAGGGGACACGGATGTTTCGTTTTTGGGGAGACATGGGAGCTTCACTATTGAGGTTTCACCTCTGAGGGGACACAGGAGCATCGCAGAGGTTAGTTACATGGAGGCTTCACCTCTGATGGATCACAAGGAGCTTGGCCAAGGGGCTTCACCTCTGAAGGTACGTGGTCCCACAGGGGACATGTGCCCCTCCACCACCATGCCTCACTGCTGAGCATCCTCAGATCGGCCATGCCAGTGCCTCACCTGACACCCTGCCAAAGATGCTGGAGGGGGACTATTGCTGCCCTCACAAAAGGAGAGCAGAACTCATTTAACTGCTTGAGGATCCTTGAACGAGGGAAATGATGATCTGAAATTCTCTTTCAGTAAAACAAAACAAAACAAAACAAAACAAAAAACAAAACACCAAACCTCCAGATCTTGATGTAGGTCTCTAATTTCTGCTACACTAATAATGATGTCTAAACACAGAGATCTGTTATTGCAATGAATTTGCCCACAAAATTGGAGAACAGGTTTAGGTTTAGACCCCTTTTAAAAAAAAAGAAAAAAAAATCCACTGAGTGAAAGCATGGGAAAAAATTAAAGCTAAAATATACATGGAAAGAGGTGAGGCTCCCTTGACAGCTGTGGTTACATTGATGTTGGAGGTTATGTACAGAGCTAGAGGGGAACTGTTTATGTTCATGAAAAAAAGTTATTACTCATACCAACTGTGATCTTTTTTCAGTGTGGGATGAACATTTGTAACACCCATTAGAGGGAATTATGCATATAATTCCTGACATGGTAAAAAGGTGATCGTCAGCCTCACAGAAATGCAGCTAATACTCTGATGAAACAAATCCTACTTGTTATATTAATTTCCATATTTTTTGTTTGCGAAAATACAGTTCTGGGAAAGGAAGACCTTTTCGTGTGATGGAGTTTGATCTTTTTGTAATGAGTTTCTAAGATGAAATGCCATCTTGAAAAAAAGTAGAGCAGCTCTGTATATGGTAAACCAGGAAGGGCTGTGTCCTGGTTAGAAGAGGTAGCCTTCCTCCTGCTAGGAGCTGGGCTCGGGTTTGGAGTCGCTGTGTGAATGAGATTTAACTCAACTGAATTTAACTCAACTGGATTTAATTCATGGATTTAACTCAACTGAAGAACTTGCTTAAATTAAGCATGGAATGACTGCTTTGATGAGGCAGGGCCTCAGCGGTAGGACTTCTGCTTGCTAATTACACCAGGGCAAAGCGGTGTTGAAGGAAGCATAGTGACAGAACACTGCTAATTCATCAAAACCAGGGCACTTCATTTTCAGTGGTAGCATCTGAAGAGAAGGTACAAAAGAAGAAAAGTTTGAGGGACTGCATGGGGACCGATATTAGTGAAATTCTGAGCATACTGGTTTGACAGCCCAGTGAAGTTTTGTAGTGGGTAAGCACTGGTTCTGTGCTTTTGGACAACCTGCTCAGATTTTCTGAGCTGTGTTTTCCATGCAGGTGAGGTAAAGATACGAAAAGCTACCAAACTTCAGACAAGAAGTTGTACAAAGGCTAGTGTTGGTGGTTCTAGTTATGTATTCAGACTTTATATGAGTGCAAATCTTCCATTAGTATTTTCTAAGACCATCAACTAACTAGTAATCTGGTAGCAAAAATTCAAAGTGTAATAGGGGTAGCAAGTCTAATATCTATTTCTTTTTTTCTTTCTTTTTTTTTTTTTTAGATGACATGCTTAAAACCGGTTTTTCAGCATATAAAATTATGTGTAACCTTTGTCCCTAATTACAAGTTACCCAAGCATACAGATAGGCATATGATAATTTCAAAGCCAGGAGACAGACTGTCTTCCTGCTTCAGCTCACTTTTCTAATTAAAATCATTATGCATAGTAGTCAGATTGATTCAAGGCTTAGATAAATAATATGTCCTGTTGTTTCCATTGAATTGAATTTTTAATGAACTGGGTTCCACTGCTGATACCACATTTCTGGCTCTTGAGTGCAGACTTTCTGTGTGTGAAGGCACAAAAACTACATCTTGAACCGAAAGACGTGTCCTTTGGGCTATCCTTCAGGATATTGCTTATGAAATTTTATTGGCTCCGGGATAAGAACTTCTGCATCACAGATTCTCCCAGGAGTCCCATATAGACTTTACCCATTGTCAGACAGCTACTACAAAGAGCTGGAGCAGAAACACAACCTCGGCTGCTCTAAAGATTTACATTGGGCACATCTACCAGATTCTAGTTTATAGCAGATACACATTGTTATTAGCACCCACAGTTTGGTTTTTGTACCTTCAAAAAAGGAAACAGACAGAAAACATAGGGAAATTAGGACAACAAGGCAGAGGTGCTTTTATCTGAACCATACGGTTTTAGTCTAACCAATCTCTAGAAGTGATCACGATATAGAAAGGGTCAAGGGGAAAAGCTGTACTAAGCACAAGTGCAGCAGAGACAAAGCTGTGGGGAGAGCAGTTGTGCAAGAAGCAAACCCAGGAATGGACAAAGGTGGGAGCACTGATGGAGTGTAGGGGTTGCAGGCAGCCTGGCAGGGAGGATAACCAGGGAGGGGCTGAGCTGAGTGGAGCTTTGAAGGAAGAGACAAGAAGAATGGTTTTAACATTACTGCTTGGGCACACCCAGAACTGCCTTGTGATATTTAGTGTTTGCAAAATAGATATTTTGTACAGCTTCAGCTTTCAAATATTATTTTTAAAATGTGTTTCTAGCCCTGATGTGGAAAGCCTGAAAATGTGACCTTGAATGTCCCAAACAACAGAAAGCACCTAACATTTTTTTTTCAGAGATTACTCAGGTTTTCTTGTGCTGAACTTAGGATGTGAGCAGCATGAAGTTGAATTTTTGACTGGTGAAAGCAGCAATACTACTAACACAAGTGAGGGCAGACATATCCAGTCATGCGCTGAGTACGAAGTTCTACCTACTCAGATGCAGCCCAGCCCATCTCACAGAGTTACTTTGCAGGGCCATAGGTTTGCTCCAGCTTTATATGTGACCCCACACAAAGGAGAGCTGATGTTTATCTGCAGCCATCGAACTATCTGCCTTGGAGATGCACACCTCAGGGCTTCGTGTTTGCATGAGCTGATCTAAGGAGCAAAGCTCTTCAGGTTCAGCCACCTCATGTGATCCAAAGCCATGCCAAATTGTGGTCAGCTGTGAACTTAGCTGCTAGGTCTTCCTTGGGAATTCCAGAGTCCTGGCTGGAAGGAAGGAAAGACCTCACAGTGGGTCCGAGCCTTCAAAGACAAGTTGTCTTTCCTGAGAGCACTTGCCTTCTTTCTGTCCATACCAGTAGAGATTTCATGCCCCCTCCCACCCCCCCATAATGGGTGACTGTGTTCATCTCATTATACAGAGCAACAGAGCAGGGGTAGGCCACTTCTAGGAAAGTGGTCTTAGCAGCACAGCATAGGCAGTGAGTGTTTGAATATTCCATCGTACATCACAGGCATGTACAATGCCTTTGTTTTCTCCTATTTCAGATTTTATTAAACAGCTAACATGGAACATTCCTTCAAGTTATAATACTTTTAACTGTATTAGATTTTGCATCGTTTCCAGCTTTACTGAAAGAAGAATATGCAGCATGCTAAAGGAAATCTCGCTTTCCACTATATCACTGTGCATCTGTGGAGCCCTGAAGAGGCAGTTAATCTACAAACACAGTGGCAATTTCAAAGTAATCGAGAGCCACCTTGTGGAGCTAGAATTCATGAAGGGGCTCTGAATAACACTGCTGGGAACAGCTGCTCATGCTGAGCAATCCAAACCCAACAGGATGCACATCTGCACACATGCAATAAATGCACGTTGCATCACACCTCTCCTCTCCTGATTAATGTTGCACAGTGGGCAGGAATGTAAGAGATGGAGAAGTGCAGAAAGCAGCAGAACCAGGGAAGCAAAGTAATGTGTCCATTATATTTTGCAAAGCCATGGTACGGTTTGGAGGGCTTTTTTATGTTGTTCATGGGGCATATTTCACCATGTAGTTAATTAAGTACTCAAAAGTGCTGATAAGTTTTGGGATTGTTCTCTATAGATACCTGTTGCAGGCATATTTTGTCCAGCATTCAGCTATTAGCATCAAGAATTATGACTGCCAGGGCTGAAAACTTGCCACATGCAACATAATGTATAGCAAAGATGGAATCACTGGTGGACATAATCTATAACTAAAAAAATTCAGCGGTCATTGTTTCTGCAGAGAAATTATCATAGAATCATAGAATGGCCTGGGTTGAAAAGGACCACAATGATCATTTAGTTTCAACCCCCCTGCTATGTGCAGGGTCACCAACCACCAGACCAGGCTGCCCAGAGCCACATCCAGCCTGGCCTTGAATGCCTCCAGGGATGGGGCATCCACAACCTCCTTGGGCAACCTGTTCCAGTGTGTCACCACCCTTTAATAACAATAAGCAGTGTTGGCACAGAGTTTGCAATAGGGCCTGTAAAGCATTTCTTTTTCTCTCCCATCATGCATAGAATAGAATCACTAAGGTTGGAAAAGACCTTTAAGGTTATGCAGTCCAACCTGTCACCTATATTCCACACTAAGCTATGTCTCTCAGTACAACATCTAAATGTTTCCTGAAGACTTCCAGGGACAGTGACTCCCCCAGCTCCCTGGGCAGTCTGTTCTGGCTCCTGACCACTCTTTTGGAGAAGAATTTTTTTCCTAATATCCAACCTGATGCAGCAGAAACTTTATTTTTGGTACACAGTGTCATGAGATGGCGTCTTAAGCACAATTTTTAAAAAAATCTCTCTAAATATCTAGAATAGATCAGACATGAAACAAGCAAAAAACAAGGAACCATGATGCTCGAGCCATTCTCCAGCTGCCACTGTGGAGATAAGTGGAAGTGATGGTGGTGATCAGCTGGTGATCAGCCTGGTTACTGAGTCACGACACAGCAGTTTCAGAGCAAGACCAGCATACTAAGCAGACTGACATGCTTTTACCCATCTTCCAGTAATTTATGTTTCAGCTCCAGAAGCTTTTCTAATTAGTTACACACTAGAGGAGCTCCAAGTTAAATTACATTTCAGAAGAGATACCACATTCAAAGTTCTTGTTAACCAAACAGTCATTAATATCCTACAACATGCTACAAAGCCAGCAGCATGAGAAAGCAACCTGAGAAGTCATTCTTCTCAGGCCTAGTCTTAGCAGACAAGCCCAGCATAACATCTGTGATTAACAGAGTTTAGTTTTCCTTCTTTTTCAAACACTGTTTTGCCGAACAGAAGATATCTATCTTTTGGTATCCTTAATGGTCACTTCAGACTAGTTTAAATGTAATCATGTAAGATGTTATGTGGTAGCAGGAGAAAAATTGTAAAAAGATACTGAACAAAGTTATGGCAAGGAACCACCAGCTTGTATGCTGGTTTGAAAAAGTAGAAATCTCAGAGAAGACTTGCACCTTTTCCTATGATACTTCATTCCATCGTGCCTTCCAAGAGGCCACCATGCAAGGACCCACAAAGCAGTGGGAGCAGTTTTCCACTGTTTGTTCTAAAACAACATGATACTTCATTCTACATTAGAATACACTGAGATGAAGGACGGCCAAATCTAGGTGAAATAGAAGCCAGCAGAATACAAACTTCTGTTTTCAGAATGCTCCCAAGCTTTGGACGCAAATCTGGACTTCCCAAGCTGCCTCTGCCAAAAGGAGAACACGGCAGAGTTCATGAGAATCCAGAAGAACTGGTAGGAGCACCTTCCCCTGGATGCAGCACTCTTGAATGCTGACAAGCATGTTCAAGGTGACAAAGGTTTGGTAGATGTCCTTCTGACCTACACATGGTTCTGGAAAAAGAAATGTACCCTTTTTTAAATAAAAACCACAAAGCTTTGTCAATTTTCTATTCTCCACCTTTATATGCAACCTTTATAAGAGTTTTTATTGTATGTGCTTATGCTCTAACTACAAAAAA